AAAAAAAGATTACACCATTATTTTATTTTCCCTCCAAAAGGAATTTCTTAACTTCATCAATTTCCCTGCTGCAGAATTTCGGTTTAGTTGCTTGATCCTATAAATCCTGGGAAGCTGGTTTACATTCTATATACCTCTATATTTCTGAGATTTACTTTCAAGAAAAATATGGAAATATTATGTTTTTAAAAATATGAAAGCTTACATTTTTTCTCCTTTAAAAGCCTAATAGCCCTAAAGCAGATAGATGGAAATATGTATAACTGCAAAATATGATGAGATAACATTCTGCCAAAAGAGATGCAGGGAGGATATCAAACACAGAGGACTTCTTTACTAAAGAGAGGCAAGTGCACCTACCATGAGTGCTGTCACCTCCTCCTACCTTCTGTCCAGGAGCAGAGACAGCGTGGCCATGGCAGGGGGCAGAGCAAGCAGCAGTGGCCAGAATGAGCAGCGGGCAGGGGAAGTCTATTTTTATCAGATGCAATGATACGTTTTTTTAGCATTTCTGAAATGTTCACACGTGGTGTGTCACCTTGGGTTGTGTGTGTGCGGGGGTGAAGGTATGTGGGTATGCCTTTTTTCCCGTCAAAGTATTTCTCAGAATGGGAGGTTCTCATCCCACGCATACCAGGCTGAGAGCAAAGAAACTGTGTTCAGAAAGGTGTTAAATAAAGAAAGTGGTTGAACAGAGGCGAGGGAGAATGAAAGAACTATGCTCATGCTGGTGTCAAAATAAAATGGGACGGTTCCTTAAAACAAAAGCCTGGAACACTTTAGTGTACTTGGAAGATTTAATTAGAACTACGTAGGCCAGATTCTCCACTGCTTGTGCCTTATATAACCATTTAAGTTGTGTAAAATATCATGCGGTAAGAAGGAGAGCGATTTACATCCTTCATCAAGAGTGAAAATGCCTGAATGTTCCTGCATACTGTCAAGTAAAATACACATGCAATGCAAAAAAAAAAAAAAAGTGTCATGATGTCTGTGTTTGAAAATAGTTATGATAGAATGTACAGCGGCCGAGAATCTTAAAACTGTTTCTTCTTTGATTTGGCTGTTTGTACATAGTTCTCACTATTAACATATTATTTATTATTTGTATACCAGAAAATTATACAAATATATCAAGATTTGCACCTGGAAATTCTTCACTGAAGTTGCAAGGCAACCTTAGCTTTCTAACGTACTTGTTGTAGTATACTATAGTATGTTGTAGTATTATATATTATTGGGGAACTGTGATATATTGTTTGGCAAACATAACATACAAAGTTAACTAATAAGTTTTAAGGTAGAAGGCATTTTCATGATTTTGGTGGAAAATGTTTTATCTTCTTGTTTACAGTTCACCATATGTATAATGTATATTTTTCTAGCAAATGGACAGCAGGGCAGCAGGAAGAAGCCTGTTTTTATACAGTTCTGGTTTGGGTCAGGTGGGAATCTCCTGGAAGGTGGGAGGTATCATCATCATCATCCACATAATTTCCCTATAGGCATGTTTAGAATGGAGAAACACCTGGAGTTCAGGGTAACATTGGGATGGAATGAATAGGGCAGCAAGGATGGACCCAGGAGCAGACGGGAAGACTTCAAGGCTCCTAAGGAGAACGTGGGTAGCAGTAGGTCTTGCTTATAGCAGAAGAAGACAGCAAAGACTGCACAGTGAAGAATACAAGACTTCTCAGGGAAGAACGTGTGATTTGTTGTAAAGCAGGCAGTTTCTGGAAGTTAGTGGTCTGGAAAGCGGGACAGGAGGAAAGGATCTGGCCTGTAAGAATATGATGGGCAAGAGAGAGAATTGGTTTCAATTACCTTTTCATTTACCCCTCTTCCCTAGCAGATCTGAATCTGAATCTGCAGATCTAAAGCTGCTAGATATAAAAAAACCCAAACCTTTTCTAGTGTAGTGACTTTTGAGGGACTGCACTACACGAAACATCTTTTGCAAGTGTAGAGTTCCATCATAGTAGTCTGATTTGAATAATACTTAGATTTCCATGAGTAAATTCTTGCTGGAACTAGCATGATATCTTAAATGATTATCCAGCCTTGGCAGTTGTCTTCACTAATAGAAAATTAGCTGTCTTTGGCAAGCTGTCCAAGGAGTTAATTAGCTTCACTGTGTTGTACCTTCTGTTTAGTTTAGTGAATTTATATCTCTTCTGTCCTTGTCTATCATTAACTTTCTGTGTCCTTGATTGCAGTCTACATGGATCTTCAAGTTCTTCATTAATTTTTTTTAGGTAAACTCATTAGACATAGTTCCTTTTGTCTTTCAGCATTTCAATGTTTTAATCATACATCTGGTCTCCAAAGGCAGAGGGAATGTAATTTTTCTGTGCTGTGTTCCATTGATAAAAAAATTACAGGCTAGACTTTTTCATTCACCGTTTCACAGAGACTGCACAAGTCTCAGAAGTCACATATTTCCACAATGAAGTTTCCATCCCGCCAACATGAATGGAATCACTTATTCCTAGATTTAGGGTAGTATACCTGCCCACATGAAATCCTATTACTCTTTGCCCCTAGCTTAGGAGGTGAGGTAAGCCACCCTGTATTGATGATTTCTCCAGTACCTATGATTTTGACAACCCTGGCACTACCAGCATCCAAAGCAATACAGTTTACCAGCATTTTTCCCTCTAGATTTTTGATAAAAATGTTATATCAAGGAGGATCTAAATCTAGCTCAGTCCTACAGTGTATTCTGTTCCACTCAGAGTGTTGCTGCAACCACCCCATCCCATGAATCTGGCTACAGCTTCATTTTGAAACTCTTTTTTTTAAAACAGATTTTGATGCATTTAATGACTGTAAGCTTGGCTGAAGTTTTTTGCTCCTGAGTATTTGATACTTTTATTTTGTGAGGAGGTGGTAACTTTTTTTCAGATTTTGATGCATTTAATGACTGTTGTTTTGCCCATGCCATGCAAATTTTCTGTCTTTGCTTCCAGTTGTGACTGTTGTTTTGCCCATGCAATTTAAATTTTCTGTCTTTGCTTCCAGTTGTTACAATACATAGAGGTAAACACATTAAAAATATATACTAGTCACATTTTTTTGACATAAAGACATCTAATAAAAAAAGAAACTCATTGAACAGCTTGAAAGATCAGTCCTTTTACAGTGTAGGAAAAGCAGTCTGATCACTAATCTTTTTCAATACTAAAGTCTTCAAAAAGATGACAGTGCTAATCCTAACTTAGGAATATATCCATTACAAAACTGACTTTAGAAACCAAATGGCTATTGAATGCTCTGAATATCAGAAACATTGACAATCTTTCCAGTGAAGACTTAAAATTTTTTTCTTGATTTGTAAACAGTGAATTCTATTACTAAAACCAACAACTCAGAGCAGAGGGATTTCAGTCAAAATTATTTAAAATATAATGTTCCTATGGTTTATATGTGGTGGAAGGCTTGAATTTGTCTAGAAGACTCGTTTCATACCACAGCCTGACTATCACACAAGTTTTTCCCAGGAAGAGTATACAAATAGTTAAGAAATTTTTTATTTAAGTGGTGAGGTTTGGGAATGGGACAATTGCAGTTCATAGGCTGGAATATCTTGCAACATAATTTACTAATGCACATCCTGAGGGTCACATCAAACCATTTTCTTTTTATAATTAGTGTGAAAGCAGAACAAGACTATCACAAATTTAATTAGACTGGCCCCATAATTTATGCTGTTGAATATTTGCTGAAACAGTTGATAAAACATTCATGTACTCAAAATGTATAGAAGTAGCCTTCTTGCCATGTCATTGCAGCCTCGCAGTTCCATAAAGACTGTTTTGTCTAAATGTGCACAAAAATATAGACAGGTATAAATGATATTTTTCAACATTTCAAATTATTTGAGTATCTTTCTGCTGTAGGTCAATTTCATTAATATTTGCCATACAGGAATTGTTGATACTAAACTTCCCCTGAATGAAATATAAGCTTTTTTTTTTTGTTTTTTCTGTTTTTCAACAGATGCTTTTGAAGTATTTGAGAAACAAGATAATCCCGTGTTTACCAAGCCAGGAGGAAATGTCGCTTTTACTTGCCCTTATAAAATTGGAGATTCAGTGCAGCAAGTGATGTGGGAAAGGATTAAAGCAGATCAGGTAGATACCGTTGTTCTGTGCAACTTGTCAGGAAAGCAAAGCTTTGGTTCAGATTTCAAAGAGCGTACACTGGTGGATTGCTCTGATCAGGCAAACTCCATGATCGTCATTCAAAACTTTACTGCCTCTGACTTTGCAACGTACCGCTGTGTAGCTACTGGAAGAAACAAAACCTATGTGATGAGTTTTACTGTGGCTGGTAAGTAAAGGAGGAAGTGGTAAATATTTTTACAGTAGGCCTTCTGAGGTATTAACACTTTTACCCATATAAAATAACTCTTCAATAACAAGTGAGGATTTATTTAAATACTGCATTCCAATCAGCAGCGTGTAAAAGATAGCAAAGTTAACAGTTAATCTTGTTTCACAGAAAGAAGCTGGTTTTAAGCTTGTCTGATCTCATATATTACTTTAGACCTGTTTGTGAGAAACTGGTTTGATGTTAGGAAGGAGGCGCTTTGGAAGAGGAGAGGCTGCCTGAGTTTGCAGGGAGAGGTGGGCATTCTCCCAAAGAAGCCACGAGGGGAATTCCCCATTAGCACAGTGCACCGCAGGGTCCCAGGGGAGAGACCTATCCTCCAATGAAGGAAAAGAGCACATTCTCATTTGAAAATGTAAAAATTTGTAAAATGGCCTCTACTTTATTCATATAAGGAGTTTCTTTAGGGGGAGCTGAGAAGCTCTTTAGGTTTTGCTGTGACTGTGGTCACAGTTTGATTATAATGGGAGCTTAGGTCTCCATACGTAGACACTTAAAACAAGATTTCTCAAACTGTGAGCTGAATCCCAGCTTGACTTCTATTTTCGGTTATGACTGAAAAAACCTCAGTTTTGGTTCTTCTCTATAGCATGCATTTTGAAGATGTGGTTCTTGTACCACCCCAGTCCTTCATCTCCCGTTGCAGCATTCAGTCCAGCTCTCTGGTATCTTTTGAGGGTACTGCTTTTGTTCCTGGTAATAAATATGTGTTAGTTGACCTCTCTTTGGCAGTGCTAAGAGCTGTGGCATGGGGTATGAAACTTCAGAATATGCGTGATCTGTGATATTGTTATTAAGAAGTGGAGAATGTGCTTGGGAAAAAAATGCTGACCTGCTTTACTCTGAATACTTGACCATAAAAGACCATGAAATTGAGCAGAATGTGATGAAAAGGGGTATCAGGAGAAAAATTCCTCTCACCTCTGACAATTTTAAACATTTAAATTTCAAACTGTTGAATATATTCATATAATCAAGCATATCCAAATTGTAGAGCAATAAAAATCTTTTTTGTTTACTCCAAGTGCAGTGCTTCTCATAACAAAATGGAAGCATGAGACTGGTACACTGTATCACAATACAGTAACTTTAAGAATTGTCAGTCTTCCCTGCACAAACTATTTCTTCTCCAGAAAAAGTTTTGTTTCCATGCTTCTTATGCTCTTGAAACAAACCCTATTTATCATTTTTTGTTCTAACAATGCCATCATAGTTATGCCTGTTTATTGGAGAAAAAAAGGTCTGAAACCATTGAAGAAGCTGAAGTACAATATGAGTCACCCCATTGTCTCCCTTTTAAGCCCTCACTCCATATTATGAAGTGCATTTTGTTGAATTTTCATTAATTCCAAAGGAAGCAAAGTGTCAAGGATTTCCAATTATTTCTCTTTAACATCTGCAACTGTTTCATAACATGCAATTAATATTTCCAGTGAGATATGGAGAAACACTAAGGGGAAAGGAGTGACAGGCCAGGCGTCAGCTCCCACCGCACCCTGTGGTATAGCCAGTGAAGTCTCTCACAAACTCACGAGTGACTTACTCTGCTTGATGCAACAGCTGTGGCTTGAATAAACCAAGTGGTGACAGAAACTCGCTATGCTATTTTCTGTGTATGTTCTATCAGTTCAGTTGCTTCATTTTCTTTAGCTGTAATGCTAAGCTACACTCTAGCTTGGATTTTCTACCAAACTCTTCCAATGTTTTTAGTCTGTTGGTGTGATTCTGCATGTGTACTGCAAAACTTCTCACCTTACCCAGTTCCAGAGATGTTTTGACATACTGAGTCTAGGAGCTGGAAGAATAGCTGCACTGTAAACAGTAATAAGGAAAACTCTGTTTATGTTGAGAGAGAGTAAAAGGAAAGATAAGAAACTTTTTTTTCCTTTTTCTTTTTCTTTTTTTTTTTTTCTGAGAAGCTATCGTTGAGAAGATGCCAAGAATTTTTAAAGAGGAGGAATCTTGGGTGAAAAGAGGTAGAAATAAGAGCACAGGTTTATTTGCAGAACTGATAATAGTTCCAAACCCGCTGATTCAAAGACGTGGTACAGTAGAAAGAAGCACTTGCTTCTTGTCTAAAGGTGAATGTATTTTTGCAAGGAGAAACAGCCTGGAATTCCTATGAAGAGAAAAGGGAGAGAAGGGGGAACAAGTATTCAAGTGTTGGGAAAGCCTGTGATGTTCTTGCAGTTCTCTCAGTAGAAGTTGGCACGCTGCATTTAACATTTTCGAACGTCAGTGAAAATAAAACCATGAGATCCATTCAATATCATTAAGTTTGCCTATTCTATCCCACTAAATATTGTGATTGTTGTTTTTCAGTAACAGGAATTTCCACCTGAAATGGGTCTTCCGCAAATCTTTTTTGACTTCAAAACCTGGAACACATAAAGCAACATGTGTATGTAAAGTAGTGCAGCTTTTGTTGGACAGCACTTACAGAAACAGGAGGCTGACTATTACATAATTATGTAATGTGTTCAAGAGACTTTGGGTTAATTTCTGATGTGTTTTTCACTATATTTTTCCTTCTAAAAATTCTATTAATATGGAGATTGGTCATGTCACCAGATTCCACATCTAAACCCATTTTTGATTTTTAGTTACCTTGCTTTTTCCTTTGATTAGATTTCATTTTTTTAGCATGTTTTTGAAGGAAAGAAGCAGACTTAAAATCCACACATTATTTTGGTAGATGATTGGGAAAGAAGGGGACATGTCATATGAAAGAACAGAAAAATTAGAAGGGTTGAAAAATAAATGCTTATTCCATCTTGAAGACCTAGCCATTTTTAGAAAGATTTAATAAGTTTTTTTCTTGCTTTAGCAGAAAGTGGGATAGCAAGCTCTCTTAGACAAAGGAAAATAGAAACATTTTGTGTTGCTGTGTGTTCCCACTAGATCTGAAAAACTGGTTGGTGGTTGTATTCAAATGTACGTTTAGGGGTCAGAATTACGTTATGGTTTGTACTAGCCCTTTCATTAGCTTTGTTGCCCTCCTCTGGACACATTCAAGTACCTTAATATCCTTCTTAAATTGTTGGGCCCAGAACTGCACACAGTACTCAAGGTGAGGCTGCACCAACACCTCTTTTGACCGGTTGGTTATGCTGTGCTTGATGCACCCCAGGGTGCGGTTTGCCCTCTCGGCTGCCAGGGCACACTGCTGACTCCTATTGAGCCTGCTGTTGACCAGCACCCCCGGATCCCTTTCTGCAGGGCTGCTCTCCAGCCACTCCTCTCCCAAATTATACTTGTGCCCGGCGTTACTGTGTCCTAGGTGCAGAATCCAGCATTTGTTCCCTTCATCCACTAGGCAGGTGACCTTATTGTAGAAGGATATCAAATTAGTTTGACAGGACTTTCTTTTTGTGAATCCTTGTTGACTGTGCTTTTAAATTGTCCTTTAAATGTCTTTCAGTAGCACCCAGTATGATCTTCATAGCACCCAGATGAAAAGCAGGGGACTACTCATCTAGTCATTGAGGGTTATCATACAGCGCTTCTGAGCTGGGAGGAGACAGCAGTACTGCTGTGCCATAGAAAAAAGACAGAAGATAAGGCTGCAGTCGTGGGTGAGGAGAATCAGGGTAGGAGTGAAATTAGCTTCCCTTCTTCCTTCATGAATTCATCCAGTATAAGCATAAAATATCAGTACGTCTGTGGGTCTCTACTCAACAAACCACCTTTTTCTGGTGCATTCGTGCTGGATTTCTGCCTTTCAGTTGTTGGCAAAACTATTTCAGTGATGTCTAGTTAGCATACCATATGCGCCAGTCCAGCAAGGCATGTGACAAGCTACATGAAGATCTTTACAGTGCAGTTCAAATCTCTTGTTAGAACAAATAACTGTCTGGCCCATCAGTGCTTCCTTCTCAAAACCAAAGTCAGTGCACTGAAGGTCAAAAACCTTCACACAAAAAAATTTCACAATCTTGCAGAGAAAATGCCAATGCTACGAAGATGGGAGAGAGAGGGACTCATTGCTTAATGCTTAACAGAAATTGTACTGATGCTGAAAATACACTTAGTAGCCTCCTGACAGCATATCACCTTTGATGAGAACACAAGAACTAAAGAGTCACATGACAAGCCTCTGACATGTTTTTGCAAAATCTTGAATGTTATGTTAAAGTCGGTAATTACAAAAGGTTTTGTATTGTTAAAGAAAACAAATGCCTCAGGAAAGCTTTGCTCACTTCAAATGAGAAAAGGCAAAAGGGCTTTGAGTTGTTGTTTCTTCTAAAAAAAAAAAAAAACCTAATGATTTTTCTCATCCAAATTTAACTGACAGCTGATAATCTCAGCTCCCAAACTCATTAACTCAGAGATTATTATCTTGACCTGATAAAATTGAAGGTGAAATCTCAGGAAAAGAAAAATGAGGTCTGGAGTGATTAGACTGCAGGGTGGGGATGCTGCTGAAGTCTGGAACTCTATACAGATTTACCCATCCTTGATGCTAATTAAATGCATGATTTTTAACAGAGTAGTTAAAAGCTTAAAATTTCTTTGTTGCTTACAGGATGGTTTCTCCCTATTTCTGTAAGTACTCACTGGCACAGATAATGATTTTCTGTGGCAGGTAGCTAAACACTTGTAAAAAAAGACATTATAATTTTTCCTGAAGTTGGACATAGCTATATGCACCATCCTGTCATTTTAAGTACACAGCAGTTGAAAACATGCTGGAAGTAGAGTGATTTCATATGTGATCATAATACAAAAGACATCAATTTTTGTTATCAGGCAGCCTTCTCTATTGTGTCACGTACCTTCAGCAGTACAAACTTCTGCGAGAATTTTTTCTTTTTTCTTTCCAGTAGAATAACATTAGAATTCGAGGATAAGACTCTTCTCTGATCAGTATTTTTTGTTATCCTTTCCAATGACCATGTTAATACTAAAGAGGTGTACCTGAGTAAGTCTCAGCTGGTATTCAGGATGGCCAGATAAGAAGCTGTGAACCTTTTTGATCCAGGAGAGAAAAGCCATCTGGTGATGGCTCAGTGTTGTTAGTGATGCTGATTGTTTTCCTTTGTCTATGAACTGAGCATGTTACTTTCTTGTCTACCCAGAATGAAAGCTCTTTGGGGCAGCTGTGGTTTCATCTTTAGATACTGTCTTCCTCTGTACAGTGAGAAGAACATTAAGGAAGGACTAAACTAAAAACAGTTTTTTAGTCCCTGTTCACCAATGAATTGCTAGTCTGTATCTGAAATACAAGAAATAAGTTTGTGGCCAAGAAGTTGGTAAGATCGTCTGGCTAAGATGTGTCCTGATAGCTGATACTGTGTCCTGGTAGCTGATGCTGCTAGCCACAAATACACTATGTACAGAAGTGTTTATTACATACTATTTGTGTTTGCTTGCTTTTTGTGCTATTAGTCTCAAGTCTGCAGAGTGCTAGTGCAGAGATGCAACAGAGAAGCAGGAAGCAGGGCACTGTGGTGCGCTACAAAAAATTGACTTGAAGTTCTGTGGTTTAACACACTTTTTTTTTTTTAAAATGCTACCACTAACCAAGTTCATAATTGTGACAAGAGAAAAATTCTCAAGTGTTTTAAATGCATGATAACTGTACTGAGGATTTGTGTTGTGGACTTCCTGTGTGACTTTGAGTATATCACTTCTTTTTTCTCCGTCTTTTTTAACCTAAAAAATGAGAATAGTATAACATCACCTCTCCACAAGCTTGAGCACCATAAGAATATATTGACTTATACCTTGAAGCCATTGTCTGGCCTGTCTCTACCCTTTAGTTATTGCATGTTGTTCCTTAGCTTCATTTGAGGATGTGACTCCATAGTGAAGAAGTCTACGCATTTTAAGCAAAGCTACTATAAATGTTACTTTTCCTGCCTTGGTTGCAATTCTCATATGAACCATTTTTGTTTAGGTTAGAAAAAATAGGGTAGGTTTCCTGACATCCATCATCAAGGCATGACCAGTACTGGGTTATAAAAAAAAAAAAATCACAATGAGAGAAATTTTTGCGGAAATATTTTTGTTAAAAAGTGAACAGATTTCCTTTTGAATTAGAGCAGAAAATAACTGATACAACTGCGCAGTACTGTATAGAAAACCTCTTGGGCACTGAGATGATCTTCCTGGTAGTCTGAAAAATGTCTTGTTGCCCATGGAAGTATTGCATGATTGTTTGGTATCTCTTATGGGACAACCTTTACAATGCCAAGAACATTCACTTAAGTAGTCTGAGTGCTTTTATTATCCATATATCAAGTCACTTATGTATGCTGTTGGACTGTTTTCTCACTTGGAGAGGGAGGGAGATAGGAAAGGATTATACAAGGCATCACTGTGCTGTGTTCACTCACCTTTGGTCATCCCAGTCACAACTTTTGTAAGAGCTAGTTCAGCATAACAAATGCATTTTAGAAATGAGGAAATGGTTGTGAGGTCTGAATATTGAGCATGAGCTGTCATGGAATAATGTCTCTACATAATTGTTGATTTTCAACTTAGTTTGTCATAACAAGTTCATGCTGGTTTATACAAAATACTAATCACATTTATTACAATTGTATTTTAGCAACTTGGGATCCCAAATGGTTTATTATCTACATAGCTGGAGGAATTTCTGCTGCGGTCTTACTGTTAATTTTCCTACTGATCTTTTGCATCACCACTGCTTATCGCAAAAAGTGAGTAACATACCAATTTGCTTGATACACTGAGGTGGGTAAGTATGAAGGCTTTGACAGTTCATCCTACTATCTCCTTCAGAACCAATTAAAAAAAAGGTAGATGTGAAAATTTAATTTTCTTGCCATAATTTTAAACTTGAAAAAACTAATTAGTTCTACAGCCATACAGTGATTTTTTTTTTTTTCCTTTTTTCACATTAAAAAAACAAATGGCTTACTCAAGTTCCTTCGTCAGCTAAATGCTTACAGTGGTATTAGCTGAAACTTCATGTAAAGGGTGATTTGTCAGGAATAACAGAAGCCTAGTCATAGGCTGTTCCTATCTTGTGCATAGAGGAGGATAGGTAACATCTTGAGGTTGTCCAAATCTTCTACCATTTTTTGTCTTTTGATTTTATGTTCCAAATTTCATCACAGCTGGATCCAGATTAATAGTTTAAACCATTATCTAAGTTTGCTGTATTCCTTGCCAAATATACGCCTATGGCCTGATTCAGAATCTCTGCTTCCAATAAAAAGAAATAGTGAGCAGAAAAAATATTTCTTCCCCTACTACAACACATGAAGCTGCTGGAACTTGCTGGCAATATATTATTGTATTTGCCCCTGAATCAGAAGGCCTTTTTATCTGTGTCTGGGCCTTTATGAAACACTGCTAATCTCATGCATGTTACAGTTTGCAAGTCAGAGGAAAGGCTACTTGGATTTTTATTGCACTTATTGGTTTCAGTGGGAAAGTAAGCAATACCAGCATTATCTCTCATATGCTGGAATTAGACATTTTGGACTATACTATGATGCAGAGTGCAGTTCCCTCCATTGTGTTTCTGACTGAATATGTGTCACCAGAAACAAGAGGAAGAGGATCACAGAGGCCTTATCAAAAGCTTTGTACTCTACTCAGACCCAGGTAAGATCAGCTGGAGTTTACTTGTATTTTGTATTGCACATTTCTTTTAACATCTTTCTCTCCTGTATCTGATCTTTATACCCTTGAATATTATAGTCTAATCTTAAACTATACAGACAGGAAAAATTGAATATTTTAAAGTATGATCATCACTATTCATCTTTTTTGATTAATATTTTTTAATATTTTACAGCTACATTTAGAGACCCAACTGTGTTCCATATCATTAACAAATTAGCTCTTTTGGTTTGCTAGTTTTTATATTATTTGTGTATTGTTCATACCTTTTTTCCTCAAGTTGCTCCTTGTAAAGCTAGGGCAAAAAATTGTATCTTGTGATACCCTTTGTCTTTATCTATTTGTTCTAGTTCAGCTTCGCTATAATTTGTTGGGACAGCTCTTTCAGTGCTTCTCCTTTCTTTTTGTATTGCAACAATCAACATTTTGGAGCCCTGAGTCTTTTTCTCCCCCTTAATAATCCTATTCAAGGCTTGAAGTGTAGAAGTGGAAAGATAGGAGCCAACTTCACTGCTTCTGCCTTGTCTTTTCATACCCTAAGTTGGGGTATGAAGTGATGTGGTACTTAGGGAAATGACCCCATTCTCACAGTGTATGTGAGACTCTGGCTTTCCACCTATTTCCTCTCAGATTGCACTTCTGTATGATCCAACAGTGAGCTCCACTGTAGATATGTCCTTATAAAGCCCTTTGACCTCCTGTCATTTCCATTTCTCTCATTCTGACTCCGGTCACTATTTGTACCAGAATGAAGTTTTTCCTAGGGTGACCATAGGCTAGGGACTAGCCATTTGCTTCAGAAACCATCTTTCCTCCCATACCAGTTAACCAAAGTACCATCACATTAAGTTGTCTTAATGACGTGACTAATTCTTAGCATGGTCAATACCTTTAGAGTAATTCATGTTTTAAGATTGACATAGGAGACTACTTCAGTACCTGAAGTGTGCATGTGAGGGGAAGGGGACATTCCACTGACGCTTTAGCAGGCGCCTTATATGGGACAACAGGGAAACATATTCAAAGTGCAACCTCTTTTTTCATATGACTTGAACCTGAAATGTATTCGTAGAAAACAAGAAGACGGAAAATATTTTGATTGATGGTTGAGTATTTCCCAATAATAAATCAGCATATGAGGAAAATTTGATGGTTTTCTCCTTTTTCGAAGTTGTAGCTGTTTTGAGAAAAGTCCTTCAACTTTTTCTTTTCTTTTTTTTTTTTTTTAATGTTCTTCTAGCCTGCTAACAGTTATGGAAGATTCAGTTTTCATGGCACACAGAACACAGAAGGAAGAGGAGAAGAATCATTACTCGAGCAGACAGAGGAGATTTACATCAACTGCAAAAATGTCTCACACAAACCTCATTAGATTCCTTCTTAAGAATGAAGTAACCAAAGCACAGGCCTTATATTTGCAACTTAAACTTCATTTTCTTTGCGCCGGTGAGACGTGGAAGGTCAAACTGGCTGTGCTGAACACTGCCTGGGCTGCTTTGGCTGGAGAGCCAGCCTGGGCCAGGTTACACCAGGTGTGTTTGTGTTGTATTGCAGCCTGCAGCATTAACATATCCTTTGATTCATATGTAGAATTAAAGATTATTTGTACTTCTGCAATTTAAACTTTTTTACCCAGTAGGTGCACTCTTAAGTAAGAATTTTAGAACAGCTCTGATATGCAGAATGGAGCTGCATATGTTTGCATAAAGTTTGGTCTGAGAAATCTATGTGTTTGAGAAGGCTATGTGAGAGGGTGAGAAAGAAAATGTGCTCGATGTTGTCTATGCCCATGACTTTTGCATCTCAAATTGAGAGCAGAATAATGAATATCCATGATTTTTCACACAGGAGGTGTTATTTTGCTGCTGGGCAAACAGTACTATTCAGCTGACAAAAGCAAATATATCAGGGATCCTTGAACTTAGGTTTAAAAGTATGAACAGAAGCTTGCTATCTGACAGCTGTGTGGTTTTACAGGCTTCTTGCCATCACCAATTATTTCAGCACTTTCTATTTGGGGATGGAATAGAAGTGTAGCCCCTGCTCTCCTCCCTCCCTCCTTCCTCCCCACCTCTCCCCCCATGCCCAAGAGAAAACAAAACATGAAGACTCTGTCACTGTCAGGTTATATTTAATAATAATTTATTATAAGGTTTAGTTGCACAAAAAATAAATGAGAACATGGAAGATAAATGAATAAATGATGCAAAGCAGAAAAAAGCGTGATTGAGGACATTTACAAAACAATACACATACATATGTAGTTGTATGTGTGCATATATGTATATATTCTGCTGAAACCTACAGAAGAAACCACACAGAAATTGAACAAACAGACAAAAAAAAAAAAAATCCTTAAACAAACAGAACTAGAAGGCAGACCTGAGAATTAGGATCTACACATCTTTTGGTCTTTTACAAATCTGCTTTATTACTGAGGATGAAATCCCAGTAGATGAAGGTGTTACTATGATGGTTGATAATCATATATGTCTGCATACTACAAACCATGTGCCTGGCCCACCTATGCTTGATTCCCCTTTTCTCTTGAAGCGTTAGTAAAAGTGTTGCTGAATATCTTGTGGGGTTTTTTTTGAAAGGCGTTGGGGGGGAGGTATTGTGAATCTGCCTACAGGTCAGTTACTGGTTCCACTTGGCTGGCTAGGAAGGAGCATCAACAGCCTGACAGTAAAAAGCACATTTTGCGTGGCCTTCTCCAATGGAAAGCTTTCTTCACGTGCACAGGAAAATAGAAGTCTAGGTTCTTCTGAGAATAATGTGGACACAAGGCTCCTCTGAACTATTTGAGCAATAATAGCATCCTGTGGTTATCCTACACTTCAGCTAAAAATCTAAAAACCTAAACCAAACTGTCCTTCAACCTAGCACTGAAGTCTTAAATTGTTTACAATGTCATATACCATTAGAAAACACGTCATTTTGGTTTTGTGTACTCCTGAACAAGGACACATACACATTGCAAGGGATATGGTTTTATATTTCACTTACTGAAGGTTTTCAGATATATAAATGCTTGCATGTGAAGTTGATGAGGATACACAGAACTGTACTATAAATAAGTTGGTTTATTTCCTGAGTTATCAAATGTCGTAGCAGATAATTCTAAGTTGTGCACAGCATTACAAATAAAACCCTGTAGCATTGGGTTGTTTCTCTGACGCTCCCATTTATATTAAAATGCTAAAATGATAATGTAATGAATTCGATTACACTGAAGTTCTCAGTTGGAACCCTGATACAGAAATATCCATAAGCCGAGAAGTTGGTATTGTTTCACTGCTTGTAGAGACAGTCAAAATACATCCCTACTTTACTGAGGGTAAAAAAGGTGAAGAGGTTGAGGTTAAGTACCTGGAATACCAGATTGTTTTGATTATTTCTGGTAATGCCCTTATTTCTTGCCTCCCTTGGTACTTTTAGCTTGTCTTTTCAAAATAATTGCTTATTTCTGAGATTTGAGGAAGAAAAAAAAAAACCCTGTAGTGCACATCTTTGCAGGTATTTAATGTTTTAATTCAAATTCCATAGACATATTACTTCTACCAGGATAGTTCACAGGGAAAATCACATCACATATAAGATAATAAGAACAATATATTATTTTTTTCAAAAAACAAACCCAAAACAACAGGTTCATTTTTGTACCATGGTAATATCAGTGAACAGCAGCTGAACATGAGACTGATATAAATGAAAACCAAAAAGAAAACAATCCAAAACTTATCAATATTTTCATTGGCTTATCAACTACTAAGCTACACACAAGAGAAACTTCCAAAAGTGTAATTTGAAATGTAATATTTAAACTCTTTAAATATTTTATGAGTCTGGCAGGATGGGACCCAGCAAGAGCCTGTTTGCTGTGACAGAGTTTGGATTATGTAAATAAACTTTCCAGTGTAAAATAGTACAAACTGTTGTTTATTGCTGTTCATTTTCAATATTTTCCATAGACTTGCCTTTTTCTTTTGGAAACTTAGTTCCTTTTGAGTGAATTTCATCAACTGTAATTTGGAAATTTTATGTTGAACAATTAATAGTGCTATTTTGTGCTGTACCACTTGCCCAAATAGTTAAGAGGGAGGAAAAAAAAAATAAAGGAACATGACACAACTATGGATAGCAACCAGGTCAGAATACTATCTAAACTGTAAGACAATTCTGGTTTTTTGTTTGTTTGTTTGAAGTCCTTAGAAATGTTGCTGAAAGGAAATAAACATAATAAAGCACGCTTTCATTAAAAGAACACCGGGTAGCTACCTTCTGTGTAATTGGAAAATGAATCTATGAGTTTTTAAGAAAAGTAAAACCAGATTTTTTTTCCATAATAATAAAATTCATCTTTTATGCTGGGTGAAAAAGGTAGATGTTTAAGTCCCATGTTCAAAGGAAAATTCCATGATTAATAGCACTACTAAGTCTTTAAAGGGCATAAAGTCAGATCTCTTTTAAAAAAGAAATCAGAGAAAAAAATATTTGTAATCAGTCTTTGCTGGAACTTCTGACTGTAGGAGAGGCAGCCGCCAGAGTTTGGATCAACAGGGTGAATACTAAACTCACAGTCTATGAAAGAAAGTGAAAGTTAGAACAGTAACATACATTATCTCCTGTTACTTTCTTTATTCATCTCAAACATGTTTCTTTACCTTAAAGAGCTCCTCTGGCTCTATAATACATTCATAATACTGCTCATTCTGCTTGTCTTCTGCTCTCCCTTGGCTGTGCACCTTGGGGTAAAACAATGTTTCTGTGAGGAAACATCCTGCTTTAAGGGCTGGACCCACCAAGGAACACAAGAAGCTGGACTCCTCAAAACCCCCATGTTAGGCAGGGTAGTCCAGCACTTAGGCCTCTTTCTGACCTCCACCTGTCCTGAATTCCCAGGCACCTTTTCTGTTAGGCACCTAAATTTTTTCAAGAACACTCAGAAATAGCTTGTTCTAACTGTGCTGTGCAACTTAACCACCTACCTCCTACCCAGGTCTTATCCCAGGACTAGTGGACAGGAGGAGAGGACCAAGGCAACAAAGCACGCAGAATAGTTAAAGTATAGGTGGTACCAGCATCTGTTAATTTGATGACAGGTGGATACTAGCTTACTCCTGAGAGATCCAAATAAGACACCTTACTTCAGAAAAAGCAAAGGTTTCAGAGGACTGACCTCACTATCAGATTCATTTCTAGGAGTGTTGTTTTTCTTTTTGAGGGGTGGTGGTGATTTTTTTGTAATCATAAAGTCATCTGGGAACCAGGGCTCTGACTTTTTAAAATTTATTTTTAAATCTTATCTGCATCATGCTCCTCTAAACCATCTACGTTATGTTGAGCTATGCGAAAGTTCAAATCAATGGTGTTTATTTACAGTACCTGAAACTCTGCCTCAGTGAGTATTTTCCAGCACAAGCGAAAGAAGACTTATTTCCTTTAAAGCCTAGATGCTCAATAGGAGTTTATCCCCTAAATGGCTTTGTAAGTCTGACACGAAGGGCTGTTTCCAAAAACAGCCCTGTCTGTCTACAGGATAGGTGCTAAAATGCTCTTTTAGACTGTGGACCCCAGGAGCAGAAACTGTATGTCAAGTTCTCAGACTGTATTATTTAAGGTGTCAATAAGGCAACTCAAAAGACATTTCCAACACTCAGACATTCCTGGGGAACTGTTTTGGGCTAGAGCAGAAGATGCGCCTCCATTGCCGTGCCTCGTTGGGATATGGTGTCAGGGTATGTGTGGGCTCAGGGTGGCCACCGTCCCTTTGACATCCAGTGCGAAGGATTCCACCCTGAGGCTAGAGACCCACAGTGGTCTTCAAAACACTAAGCTGGACTAGACTTTTCACTGACACATGAAATGCTGGCTGTTTCTGCTACCACATTCAGTTCATCCGGGATCCTACCTGCCAAATCAGCCAGGAAATGGAAGACCCTGGCCCAGTTCTCCCCCAGCCCGCATCAGACATGCACCCCCTCTCCCCTGCCCTTTCCAGCCTTCCCCCTGAAGCTGGGATCCTGCACAGAAACAACTCAGGTTTTAAGGACTAAGAAGAGCCTGCAGGGCTTGGTAGGGCATTCTTCCAGTGAGTGTCCTTGTTCTGCTTTTGCCCATAACTCTTTTTTTCAGTTCTTTTCTATGAGTAAAATGCATTAAGAGTGATGAGAAGGGGATGAACATCTGGATAACCATGGGACAAACACGTTGATGAGTTTGCCTTACTTTAAAATAAGAGATCCTCAGGACCATCGAGATAGCCTCACCTGTGGGAGCTCAGAGACTACTGGAGCAGGCTGCCACCATAACATGGGACTGTGCCACTGCTCTGACTGGTTTCCCTGATTAGGCTTGATTTATAAAGCT